GCAATCAGCAACGAGCGACGAGGGCACGGCGTGCCCTTTCCTTCCGACAGAGCGTCCGACGAATTTTAAAAAAGTAAACACGGATCGATGCGCGCTCGCTCGTTGCATTATCGCTCGACGATCGTCGTTCGATCGGGACTCCTCCTCTCTCGACACCGGCACCGTGAACGATGAAACTAGTTTGGCGCCTTTTCGAATGAATAAATTACACCGTGTGCGCAAACCGAGTCATTTTCCTTAACTGCTGCATTTAAATTCCAACAAATGCGCAATTCAGCCTTTAATTGCTTTACGGGCATACCCGATGTCCGTAACTGCTCTCCCGCGAACCAGTAACTCTTCGCCGTTTCTACGGAGACCTTTATGTGTCTCTGCCTTTTTCCTCTTTTTCCCTCTCTTTCTTCTCTTTTCCCATTTCTCTTCCTCTTCTTCCCCCGCCTCTTCGCTCTCTCCTCTCCGTTTAAAATTCGCCGCTGCGATTGCTCCACCCTGACGTCCCCGGTATTCGACCATCGTCGTGCGTGCCAATTCGGGACTGACCGATAAACGACGTTACCATCGCATACCGTTTCGACGTGCGAAACGCGATCCACGGTTTTAACGGCGTCTCCCGCGAGCGCTGCCGCTTCTCTCCGCTCCGCTCCGCGTCGGGTCGCCCGGCGTCGTGCGGTGCCGCGGCGCGGCCCACCGACTCGATTCGATTATCAAATCGAGTTTCGCGGAGTCGACGCGGTATCGCGAGTACCCGCGTTTACCTGATGCGAACTATGGCGAAAAGTGGGTCGACGGGGCAAGTGGCGAAACGGAAATAGCGGAAAAGAAACAGCAGGGATGCGATGGCCGGGGTATGTGGGTCACGGGGAAGGTCAGAGGGGTTGCGCGTTAAATTTAATTACACGTGTCCGTGACGGCTGTTTGAACGGTCGTCGGGGCTGCGGATCGGCCAAAAGCATGTCCAAATCGCTTCGATTTGGAAGTCGATAATGGTATATCCGCGGAAACGCGGCCGATATTCGCTTTAAATTGGTATCAATGGTACTCTTTAGGACGACTCTGTGACACGTCCGCGTTCAACCTGTCCGCCGGAATCGCTTGATAGTCGGATCGCAGCCCCGACCATCCCCTGCAGGCTTCTCCTCGTCGGAAGATCGCGAGAGTGGTCCGGGCGGGGGTAGTGAAAGAAAGGGAGCCGGGAGCGAGTAGGAGAGAGCTCTGGATGAAGCTCGATTCCGACAGTCAGGTATTATTAGCGATGTATGTTAAATGGAAAAGGAGATTGGTCGTTCGCAGGCCCCCGGAACGGAATTATTATCGTTGCCCGTTTCGGTGCTGCCATCGAGTTCCTTATTATCCATCTGGCGACGTCTGCCTCGAAACGATCTAAGAATCCTCGATCAGCGTCCTCGCGCCAGTCATCCACGCTCTCCGATTCCGGCTTGCGTTCTTCCAAATTCCGACGGAGGTATTTATTCGACCGTGTCGAGAGGGGAGGATGTAGGTTTATCGATTAAGGTCGAGAAAATTCGGGAATACTCGAACGAGAAACGCGGTGGAATACGACGGAACGGGCGTCGTAGATACCAATCGCGTTCGAGTCTCGACGATGTACATACTCGAGGACGTTTGCTCTTTGCGGAGAGACAGAGACTACGAGCGTGGATTACCCGGGATAAATAAAGAGGGGTGGAATCGGGGGGTGCGGAGAACGCGGGACAGGGGAAGAGAGAGAGGGCGAAGAAGGTAAGCGGAGTTTAAGCAAGGTGGGTCAGGCTAGGGAAGAAGGAAAAAAATTGTTGGGTGGTTGGCAAGTAACGGAGAGTGTTAATTTTCGGAATGAAAACGAGACATCCATCTTTCGCGAAATACTTGGCACTCGACGCTTCAACTGTCGGCCCATTCTCTCGCTCAACGCATTAGAGTAATGAATTAATTTCCATCCGAGTCTCTCTCCCCCTGTCCCGCCGTGCCCCCTTCTACATCTAGCAGGCCGGTCTTTTACCACTCGTTTAGCCCGCAACGACTCCACTTTCTCATCCCGTCTCGCTCTTCCTCGCTTTGCATTCTGGATTTAAAGTCTATCTTCTTAATTATAACGGAGTGACAATGCACTCCCTCTCTCCCTGTCGTTTCCTTTCTCAACACTTCCATTTCCCTGGAAATTCCGATGCCGGTTTGCATTAAGCGGAGAAGAAAGATCAACCCTGCCCTCGCCGAATGCCTCACGAAAATGGCGGCCGCTATCTCGAGGATGGTGAAAAAATCGTTGCAAGAACCGTCCCATTTCTCAAATTCGCGTCTTTTTTCGAGGATCGTCCGATTGTCGTTCCCGTGGTCGAGAGTGACGCGTGTCGAGGCGAACGTCGGTCGATCGGCCACAGAGTCGGAGAAATCCGTATTACGACGCAATCTAGCAACCCTCTTCTTTCGCGTGACTTTACCCTCTCGCGGCACGCCGCATCGCTGGATGGTTGCATGTGTGCGTCGGAGCTTCGACGATCCCTCGCTACCTCGACTACGCTCCGTTCCCTCGCCACCTCCTGCCGGCTCCTTGTTCTTTGGCGATGTTCGCGAGGTGCACGGCGCGCTCGTTAACGTATTCATGGGTTTATGGGACAATTAACCCTTTGAGGGACAGTATAATTACAGAAGCGATTAAACATCTTAACGTATAAACACGCCGGGGCCCGGCGACGTATATGTATACGAAACTCGATGTGGCAGCCAGCCGGGTAGGTAGGCAGACCGTTACCAATTAACATACTAATGACACGAGGTGCTTTTCGAGAGTCACTGTAACCGGCTGGCCTGCAAAGCTTCCTCCGCGTGTATACACACCACGGCACACGTACAACACCAGGGACGAAGGGTTGGCCGAGGGAATATACACGCGTATCCGGGGGCCGCAGCAGCAGCTTTGGCTTACAATTATTTGCGATTAGGGATCACGCGATCGAGACGTTTCCTCGCGATGTTCGTTAAAATAATTGAACCTCTTCCCCGCGTCTTTGTCGTCGTCGTCGTCGTCGTCGTAGTAGTCGTAGTCGTCGTCGTCGATGTCTCGACGCGCCGATAACGAACACCCGAAATACCCACCCCTTCTTCCCCATTCCTCTTTCTCTGCACCCTTTCTCTTTCTCTTTCGATTTCACGTCTCCACGGCTAATGGGATCGGTTAACGGGATAGAACGAAAACGCGTTAACGTCTCCGGCAAACGAATAGGATCACGAGAAGCAGTGGCAGGAGAAGTTTGTTTTTGCGCGGCTCGTTCAGCCAACAGAGATTTTAATAGTTTTTTAAAGACGAGAAAAGGAACTCGTTTCCTTGATTGGATCGAAGCGTATCTCGCGCGAGCTTCCGTAACGACTTTCCTAATTACGCTATCCATTAATTTTAATTGACCCGGTTTTTCTTTCGGATACGTTGATACCGTCCGCGGAATTCGATTAAAAAATCCGCTCGAATAATCCCTCGTACGTCTCGCTCGTTCGCCCACTTGTCCCCCTCGCGCCGCGATATTCCGCTCAGCGGTGGAGGATCGAGAGAAAATTTCGATCGTGGCCGCGACGCGCGAGAGCCTGACCGCGTTTAAACTCCTAATGCGATGCACGCTGGTCAACGACAATATCGGTCTGGGTATTCCGTCATTTTGTTTGCCACCGAGCGAATTTGATTATCGCGTAATCTCAGCCGGGGCTGAAACGTTCGGCCTGTAAAATCACGGAAAATCTAGCCGGACAATACCGCTTACCGGTGTCATTGCGAAACCTTTATCGGGTTCTGCGACACGGGGCACGCGCGCGCGCGCGCGCCGCGGGTTCGGTCGCGTCGGCCGCGTGTTCGCTCGGCTGTCGAAATGCTTTTGATTTAATTAGCTAATTATAATGTTCATTTAATTAATATAATTGGACCGGTTAGCGGGCTGGGGTGCAGCTTGTACGCCTGTGACGCTGCCTGTGACTATTTTACCGCGTTGCATTTAATAACGCCCATTAACGAACATTTACATTAGCAGTAATTATCGCAGTCCCGGCGCAACGACCGGCCGATTGGGATATTTTCGCTCGTCACGCGGTAATCGCAACGTCGTCTAATTCGTCGTTACTATTGAAACGAGCGCCTCGCGACCGGAGCGCCCTCTCCCCTGCGCCCCCGCGATCCGACGAAATTTAACTACGAACGGGCAGAGAGCGTGTGGGGGCGGCGAGGTGAACGAGGAAAGAAAAGAATGCCTATATGCAAGAAAGTTAGCTCACCACGATGTGGTCGAAAATGTCAATAAGATTGAATTTTCCTTCCAGATTCTACAGCATTGCAATGCCTATAGCACGCCAACAGAATCTTTAGAATACGATATAAAAAGCGACGGATTCTTTATTTATTCCTTATCGGTCCGTAACGTCGTTAAGCACGGTTAACTTTCTTAATTCTATATTCCTCGACTGTCCCTGGTAGAAGTCCGGCGTGAAAACGAGATCGTTAGTTCCCGTCGCGTCTGTGTTTACCCTTCTCGCGGATCGTACGAGCGCATCGTCGTAGAAACGGGGATATCGCGGAGACGAGGTCGGATAATCGGGAATCTCCGATTGACAACAAAGAGACGAGGACCCCGGTGTGTATATGGTAGGTGGTAGAAAGCGCGTGTAGACGCGTGTACACGGAGCGCGGTCGGTGCGGGAGAAGGTTGACGCGACACGCGCCGAGCAGGCAACCGCGCATGCGCACGGCCACGCGTGACGTGCCAAATGACGTCGCAGTATGGAGCGACGAGTGGCGGCCGGAGGACGAGAAGCAAGGAGACGCGGCCGGACGAGTGTGCCGAGCAAAGTCTAGCCGAGAGTGCGCCGAGTGGTTGGCGGTCTCGCGTCGCCTCGCGTCGCGTCGCCGTTTCTCTTCATTCCGAAGTGAGCTGCCGTTGCGGACTAACCGGCAGCCTCTGCGCTTACCGCTAACGCCGCCGCTGCTGCTGCCGCCGCCGCTGCTGTTGCTGCTGCTGCTGCTGCTGCTGTTGTTGCCGCCGCTGCTGCTGCCGTTGCCGCTGTTACCGCTGCCCGCTCCTACTACTGCTCCTATCGTCGAATCTCCGGCGGCGGCGCACACCGGCAATAACGCGTCGTGCTATTACCGATACGTCACCGCGTGCACGACACCGCGTACCCGCTAATGAATTGAATTACTTTCGTGCCGCGGCTATCCACCGCACGAGACTCCGCGGCACGCGTACAGTTCGATCGATCGATATCGCGCGACAAGTGACTCTGACGATAAGTGTGTTGGTTACCGAGTACTCGCGTCTTTCGTTCCTCCACTTTCCTCCCTCGCTCTTTTCCAGCTTCCTTTTGTCCCCCGTACGTCCTCGTGTACCTTTTTCTTCCCGAAATTCGTCCTTCTCGCTCGTACTCGCGCGGACTCGTCGTCGCGTTCGTCGCGTGTGTTTCATCGGTGTGACTAGTACGCTCGTTGCATCGAGGATCGAGGGAAACTACCGTGCCCACCACCTGCGCTACTCCCGAGTTTAAGGATTTCCAGCGATCCTGCGTTTCATCCACCGGTGAGTACCGTACGCGTACATACACGCGCGTAGTACCTTGCACCGCGATCTTCCCGTGAATGAACTCGCGGACTCGGCACACGCGCGCTCTAAACCTGCCACCTACGCGAACGGGTAAACGATTCGAATCGATTTACAACGCGACGAAACGGCCGATTGATAGATCTTATTACGGTGCGCGCGGGGCCAGAACGTCGGCATCGACGCGGACGCCCGAGTGTCGATACTCGCTGCCTCGCGATGTTCACGGCGTGCTCGTTCATGCCGGTTCCGATGCGGGACGTTTTAATTAACGTTAGGAGGAGCGACTTTTTCATCGCGACAGCGCGCTTTCGTCGTATCAACCGAGCCGGTTATTTTCTACTCGTCGCGTTTATCCGGTCGAGAGTCGAGGCATTTCGCGCGAATCGTTTCGCGCCTGCTTTTCCATCTTTTTCCCTCTTTCCTCCCTCGCCCCACCGTCGCATACACCGTCGCGTACCGCGTCTCCGAGTTATCCGCGAATTATTCCCAACCTCGCGACCCACCCTCCTGCGAGTCACGAGGTCCCGTTCATTCCGATTCACGTGCACGTTCCGCGAGCCTGTACCTGTATTGCTCGAGGAGTCCTTTTTGCGTGGATTTTCGCGTCATTTTTGCGTGGTTTTTGCGTGCCACGGATGGGATCGGTGCAGCCGCGTAGCGTGACTCGAGGCGGAATGGAGCGGATCTGCTCGCTTTCGGGTCGTCGTTCCGCGAAATAAATCCGAGGCGCGGTTATGAGCGCCGGGTTAGCCGATATAACGTGGTCCTTTTGAATCCGGCCGCGGTATAAATCGAGCATTATCGGACAATCCGTAGCATCGAACGGCCGAATGAAATGCCCGCCGTGGCGTGCATTTACGTTTCAATGGCCGAATGAAATTTCCGCGCGGCGTCTGCCAGGCAAGAAGGCGTTGTTTGCGAGACAGAGGGAGTCAGGGAACAGGGGCGGATGCGTGAGGGAGAGAGGAAGAACGGCCCTCGCAACGCTCGCCACCAACCCCCGCCGCGCTCGCCGAGGCATTAATTGGGTGGAGCTTTAATTGCCTTAGCGCGACCGACCGCCGTTCCCGCCGAACTTGGCCCGAGAAGGGTGGCTGGAAGGTCGCGTTAACGTTTCCCGACCCGAGACCAATTTCTTCCGCGATTACGATCGCTCGATTAACCGATGGAAATTCCGCGAGCTTTTCCTCCTGCTCGCGCGTAAATCGCGTTCAGCGCGGCACAGGAATCGAACAGCGATCTCGTTGCCTCGCGAAGCGTTTGCTCGACACCGCGTGAAAGGCCGTAATGGCGAGTGTGGTCGAGCTCTCTAGTCTTTGGAGTATACACCTCTCCAATTCCCCTCTCTCTCTCTCTCTCTCTCTCTTTCTCTCTCTGCATAGCTTTGCCGTATCTGATACTCTCTCCGCGATTCCCTCCAGCCGTGACTCTCTGGAAACGCGGAGGCGACTAACCCCTAAATGAAATCCTGGAATTAAAGCCGTATATTAACCTCGCGGCGTCTCCTAAATTAAAAAACAACATTTTTACGATGTCGTGGAGGCGTGGTAGGTGGATGCGAAGGGTCGGGGATATCGAGGAACGGTTCGCGGGTTCGCGAGAACTCTCTTCCATCGTAACCTCCCGATAGCATCGCGACCTAACGTTGCGCCCCTTGTTCCACATAGGTCGCTTATCCACCCCGTCGACAAGGTCGCCGAACTCCGACCGATGTTCTATTGTCCGTAAATTGCGTTTTTAAATTCGTCGCTGGCTGTGCGGCACGTGGTGTGTCGGCGCGAGCTTCCGTAACCTGCCGCGCGCGCGGACCGACCGGGGTCAGGCTTTGGAAACGCCGAACGTAAACTCGCGACGCGTAATCTCGCGTCTGCTTCACTCTCTCTCTCTTTCTCTTTCTCTCTCTCTCTCGCTCGCGCGCGCGCGCGTTCTTTTTCGGTAGCGAGAGAATCAAAGAGAGAACGACGAGGTCTCTGGATGGAAGAGCAGAGGACAGGGAGAAGTATGGAATTAAAAAATAGGGAAGAAGACGTGGGAGAGAGGAAGGTGGAATAACGGAAAGGGTTGTCGGTGGGAAAAGGAAGCGAAGGTTAGAAGAGAGCGAGGAGATAAGGAGGTAGGTGGTGGATGGCAGGGAAGGCGTAAAGCGTCGAGATTACCATGGAAATCCAGATCAGTCGCTTTGCATACTTTGGAAATACGTCCACGGAATCGGGTAAGGGTGTATAATGGAAGTTGAAATTGGTTGAGCCTGTCCCGTCTGGGCAAGCTATACCCGTATACGAGGTATCGAGGGAAACGCATTCCTTGCCGAAATTGCTTCGCACTCGATTCAACGGAAAACACACGCGTGGCTTCGAGTTCGGGGTTACGTTTTCGCGCGTCAAAAAATATATACGCGACCGGACGAACACACAGCGTCGGCCGGTGTGTACGTACGCGCGCATCCACCGCTC